CCTGCCCCGTCTCCTGCGCCCACCGGAGCCCTCCGCACCCAGGCTCGATGGCTCCCTCGACTCGGCGCACCGCCGGGCTCGGTCCAGGCGGGGATGGGGGAGGGGGCCGGTACCTTTAATTCGCCCAGCTCCGCCATCTTGAGACATCGCAGGCGCCCTAGCCCGAGCCCGAGCTCAGGCCCAGGGACCGGCGCACAACTCTCCACCCCAGCGCCGGCCGCAAATGCAGCCTGCTCCGCCCCGTCCGGCCCCCTACACCTCCCCTTCCCGGCCCCGCCCGCCCGGCTTCGGACAGGCCCCAGCCTCAGCCCCTCCCTCCACAGCCGGACCCAACCCCTGCTCGTCTCCAGCCCGCTGGCCAGATGGGTAGATCCAGGGGGAGGGTACGGCCCCCAAGACCACGGGTCCCCGAGGGTAACGCAGAGGAGGCGGGCCCGAAGTGCCCCGGGGAGGGGGCCTCGGCCACGCCAGAGCTCGGAGGGATGAGCTTTCAGGGAGCCAAAGGTACTTGAAAGATGGAGGGAAAGTGTCGAGAACTGTTCTAGCTCAGAGAAAAGGGGGAGGGGGCAGAAAGTTGAAGCGACTCCACCTCTACAAGTTTAACCAGCTAAAATCAAGAGTTCTGCCAACTCTCGGGAAATGGGTGAGCTCTGATCCATTAGAGGGAAGCTACGGAGTCGTGAACGGTTGTGTTTTCAGTCCTTCACCCCCTGCAACCCCCACACCACCGACTACAATGTGGCTCACCGTCCGTCCGGAGGACTCAAACTCGCGATAGGAAAGTTTGGTGCGGAGAGCGGGACTTACCAGCACAGTTGCGGGGAGTGGGGAGGAGGCTCGGGAGGCTCTGGGGGTGGGCTGGGGAGGTTAGGAGTGGGGGCTCGGCGCCGCTCCCGCGGTCTGCAAGGCGCGCGGTCCCGCGACAGGACGCGGCAGCGGCAGCTCCGCCCGGGCTGGAGCTCCGCCCGGCCCAGCGCCGGGGCTGGGGCCGCCCCCTCCGGGGTAAGCCAGCCGGACCGCCTGAAGGGGAGAGGGGGCGGGGCCACAGGGGAGAGGGCGGGACTCCGAGCCGGGCGCTGGAGCGATTACCTCGTCCTTGTGAGTGATCCGGAGAGACCAGATTCTTGGATCGCGTCGTTCTCAATATGTCTATGACCCCTCGTGCTGATGTACGCGCTTAGGGTGGAGAAATGCTGCTAATTAGAGAGTGTGGACCAGAGAGCCTCTGCATGGAGGGTTCTTGGAAAGAAACTTCTCCCTTCTTGGGGTAAAGCCTGGGCTGCTTGCTCAATGAGTGTCCTGAACCCTAGCTCTATGCGTGGGCCTCCACTTCCTACCCCACTTACCGTCACCAGAGATCCCACACCTTTGGTGTAGCTGAAGGCCAATAGAGGGAAGGTGGTTTGGGTTTGGGTTTTGTTTCTCACAAAAGGGATCTTTTTGCTACCCTCTGAACTGTCTTCTCTCCATCCTCCAAACGCTTCCATCCTCCAAACGCTTGGACCTTCCGGAGGCCCTGTCTCAACCAAGCTGATAACCCACACGCAGGACCCAGGGTAAATCTGTTCCTATGTCCATGAAAATACCACTTTTAGGGCAGGGTACTCATACTGACTACTGGAAAAACAGCTTTGTATAGCCGGCTGGCCCTAAGTAATATGATTTGTTCCATTGATATGTATCTGAGTACAGATCAGGGACTGTTAGATGCTGAGGACACAAAAGCCTCACAGGAGCTTATAGTCAAGAAACAGAGATGACTGGCGATAAATCTATAATTGGCATACTCAAAAAGTGCTTTAACAAACCATAGAGATGACTCCCTCATTTGACTTAAGCCTTTAGTATAAATCTTCCTATGGGACTCCAGCCAAGCTATAAGACTAAAGGTGCCAGCCTACCGTTAATCCCATGTACCATACCTGTTGATCTGGGCCATATTCAACTATTTCGTGGTTTTTGACTCTAGGGAAGATGCCATGCTTTCCTGGCATTCTGGATCAATTTAGGCTCTGGTATTTGGTTCCACCTCTCAACTACTGCTAACACCTGAGTCCTCATCAGGCTCTGAGTTTACTTTTTTTGTTTAGTCCTCTAGACAAAAACTATGGATTAGTTTGTATTTTCTAGAATTTTCAGTTGTTGCTAGGAAAAGAGGGTAGAGAGGATAAAAAAGAGATGGAGGTAGGAACTTTGGGAAGTCATGGGTTTTGTTTTGTCTTTAAGAATTTTGCCAGGTAGCAGGTGGTGTGGAAGTGAAAGGCCCTCCGGGGTAAGCCAGCCGGACCGCCTGAAGGGGAGAGGGGGCGGGGCCACAGGGGAGAGGGCGGGACTCCGAGCCGGGCGCTGGAGCGATTACCTCGTCCTTGTGAGTGATCCGGAGAGACCAGATTCTTGGATCGCGTCGTTCTCAATATGTCTATGACCCCTCGTGCTGATGTACGCGCTTAGGGTGGAGAAATGCTGCTAATTAGAGAGTGTGGACCAGAGAGCCTCTGCATGGAGGGTTCTTGGAAAGAAACTTCTCCCTTCTTGGGGTAAAGCCTGGGCTGCTTGCTCAATGAGTGTCCTGAACCCTAGCTCTATGCGTGGGCCTCCACTTCCTACCCCACTTACCGTCACCAGAGATCCCACACCTTTGGTGTAGCTGAAGGCCAATAGAGGGAAGGTGGTTTGGGTTTGGGTTTTGTTTCTCACAAAAGGGATCTTTTTGCTACCCTCTGAACTGTCTTCTCTCCATCCTCCAAACGCTTCCATCCTCCAAACGCTTGGACCTTCCGGAGGCCCTGTCTCAACCAAGCTGATAACCCACACGCAGGACCCAGGGTAAATCTGTTCCTATGTCCATGAAAATACCACTTTTAGGGCAGGGTACTCATACTGACTACTGGAAAAACAGCTTTGTATAGCCGGCTGGCCCTAAGTAATATGATTTGTTCCATTGATATGTATCTGAGTACAGATCAGGGACTGTTAGATGCTGAGGACACAAAAGCCTCACAGGAGCTTATAGTCAAGAAACAGAGATGACTGGCGATAAATCTATAATTGGCATACTCAAAAAGTGCTTTAACAAACCATAGAGATGACTCCCTCATTTGACTTAAGCCTTTAGTATAAATCTTCCTATGGGACTCCAGCCAAGCTATAAGACTAAAGGTGCCAGCCTACCGTTAATCCCATGTACCATACCTGTTGATCTGGGCCATATTCAACTATTTCGTGGTTTTTGACTCTAGGGAAGATGCCATGCTTTCCTGGCATTCTGGATCAATTTAGGCTCTGGTATTTGGTTCCACCTCTCAACTACTGCTAACACCTGAGTCCTCATCAGGCTCTGAGTTTACTTTTTTTGTTTAGTCCTCTAGACAAAAACTATGGATTAGTTTGTATTTTCTAGAATTTTCAGTTGTTGCTAGGAAAAGAGGGTAGAGAGGATAAAAAAGAGATGGAGGTAGGAACTTTGGGAAGTCATGGGTTTTGTTTTGTCTTTAAGAATTTTGCCAGGTAGCAGGTGGTGTGGAAGTGAAAGGCGCTGGACTCTCATATGGCTGACCGCAGTTTGAGTGCCAAACCTGGTGGCTTGCCTTCTCACTTTCTCTCTTTCTCTCTGGTGACTGTATGTGTCCCATAGCAAATTTAAATAATAATAATACATAAATTTAGATAAATTTTTTTAAAAAAAGTTTTGCCATAAGGCACGTGTACTTGCCTGGAAAGAGACAGAGAGAAACAGAGGGGAAGTGAGAAATCATCCCTATTGCCACTCTGCAATTCTTCCTCCACTCTCCTGGGGTTTTCAGGCACACACTTATACCAGCGTGTTTTTCAAGCCACCGGGTCCAGGACTCAAACCACGCACTTGGCCATGTTGTATCCAGTGCCTTAACCACCACACCACCACTGTTGCTATGTGATGGTATTATGGGTATATACATCTGACAATCCTTACCAAATTGTACACTCTAAATACATGCAGTTTATTGTGTGCCAGTTATACTCAATAAAGCCATATGTTTTGTTCTGTTTTTAGACAGAGAAAATAAGTTTATTAAGGAAAGTGTACACAGCAGACTACTCCATAGGTGGAACAGCCCCTTAGGAGGAGATAGGTTTCATTCCTTCCTCCAAGAGGAAGAACTGTTACTAAGAAAGAAAAATAGAAGGGTTACCTCAAAGAGAGAACAGACCAATCTGTAAAAATTTTAAAGACGGTCAACCTCATCTTGATGCCTAATGATTTCATGAAGGAGGACTCTCCTTTAAAAGCTACTTTGAGGTCAGGACCATCAGTTAGAGTAATGGCTATGTCGCTGTACTCCCACGTAGTCGTCTACGGTTCAAGTCCCGGACCCGGTGGCTTAAATTCACACTGGGTGTGTGTGAGTGTGTGCCCAAGATCCTAAGAGGAGAATGGAGGAGAAGGGATGGCGGCATGGCCATCCCCCCTGAGAGGTGGTTTTTCACTTTCTGTCTCACTGTCTCTCTCTGTCCTCTGTCCACACACACACACACACTCACAGACACCAACAAAACCACCCCAAAAAAAAAACCCCAAAAAAAAAAAAAAAAAAAAAAAAAAAAAAAAACGAAGCTACTTTGAGATTATAAATTCTAGTATCTCTACGAGGGAACCAGAGCACCTGAATCTGGTCTTGCACACAAACTCCATGAGGACAAGGACCTTTTCTGTGTTGTTCCTATATGGTAGACTCCTTAAAAAGTCTGTTTAGGGACCAACAAGTGGCATGGTGGTTAAGGCACTGGACACTCCCATGTGGCCAACCATGGTTTAAGTCCCGGACCTGGTGGCTTGCTTTCTCACTTTCTCTCTCTCTGTGTGTCTCTGTCTCTCTCTGGTCAAATTAAAATAAATGAATGAATATTTTTTAAGTCTGTTTAATTAATTACCAAGGAGAGACACAGAATCAGAACCAAGTTCCAGATTAAGGGCATTGTAGGGCCAGCAGGTGACGTGGAGATTAATGCAGCTAGATCCCATATAGCCAACTCCACAATTCTAGTCCTGGACCCAGTGACTTGAAAATCATGCTGAGTGGGGAACCAGCAGTTAGTGTAATGGCTATGTCACTGGACTCCCCCATAGTCTACCGCGGTTTGCATCCCGGACCCATTGGCTTAAAACTCACGCCGGGCGAGTGTGCCCAAGATCCCGAGAGGAGAATGGAGGAGAAGGGATTGCAGTGTGACCATCCCCCCCTGGGGGGTGATTTCTCGCTTTCTGTCTCTCTGTCTCTCTTTGTCTGTCTGGCGAGTGCACGCGCCCTATAGCGAAAACCTCTAAAAAAAAAAAAAATCATGTTGAGTGCTTGTGCGTGTGTGCCCAAAATCCTGAGAGGAAGATGGAGAAGGGATTGCAGCGATTTCTCACTTTTCCTCTCTGTCTCTCTCTGGTGAGTGCACACATCCTATAGGAAAAACTAGGGGGGAAAAGGGAACATTCTAAGACATAGTCTGAACCCATCATGTCTCATCAAGCTTTACATTTCATCCACACATAGACATTGAGGCCTGGGGGATGTGGGGGGTAAAACAGGAATAAATAAGTCCCTATGAAAGTCCTATTAAACAGAGACCTCAGGAGGACTAGAGAGAACATTGGGATTAGAGTTACTTTGGGGGAAAAATTTTTTTTTGAGAGAGAGAGAGATTTTGGTATAGGGCGCATGCACTCGCCAGGAAGACAGAGAGAGACAGAGAGACAGAAAGTGAGAAATCACCCCCCCAAGGGGGATGGCCACACCACATTCCCTTCTCCTCCATTCTCCTCTCAGGATTTTAGGCGCACAAACACACGTACCTGGCATGAATTTCAAGCTGCTGGGTCCAGGACTCCAACTGCAGTTGACTACGTGAGAGTCCAGCACCTTAACCACTATACCTGATGGTTCTGAAAAAAAAATTATGAAATTATAATTTTCTCGCTTAGAGTTACCGGTTTAACAGTTTGTGGAGTTGTATGGAGGGAGACTGGGAAAAGCAGGGGCTAGGGAAGTTTCCAAGTCAGCGTTAGCATCACTCACCACTCCCACAGCTCAGCCGTCCTGGGATCTGCTGCCAGGGGCCCAGAGGGAGCCAGAGGCCTGGCTTCCATTACCAAAGCTGTTTCCTGACTCACATTTGAGCTTAGCCAAATCATTTCCCCATCTCTGACTCTTCCGCAGTTTCTTTATTCTTCCCACCCCAGACCCCACATACAAGGAGGAATCTAACGATCCTTTGATATTCCTTGGCCACTCTGAGAGCACTTCCTTGGCCTCTCTGAGAGCACGAATGGAAAGAGTAGTTCTGTTCTCCTTAATGAATGACCAGACCCCTTTGATGCTCTTCCTCTGGCAGCCGCACCCCTTCTCCCTCCTCTGTCCATTCTCTCATCCTTAAAGCAGTCCTGTGCCCATCCACTCAAATGCCAAAGCTGACCTACACCTTTTCTAGGTACTGGTCTACACATCTCAACAGCTTTTTCCTCTTGAGCCAAATTTTGCAGCCCTTGTGTAGCCCCCTGCTTTCCGTGTCAGCACCCCCGCCCTCACATACACACTCTCTCTCCTCTCAACCCAGTCTCTCTTGCCAAACCACTGCTGCCTGACCCAGCATAACCCAGCAGAGGGCGGGCTGAGAGAAGGAATGGGGAGGGATCAGCCTGTTCCAGATCTTGGAGGAACTCACTGCCTCGTTCTCACCTAGCAGTCTGGCTGGTAGAGGGGCAGGAAGGGGAAGATACCAAGGGGAAGTGACCCGGAGAAGAATTTTTTTCAGTCTGGAAACAGAACCAGAAGGAAGAAGCCAACTCTGGGTAGCTCTTCAACCTTTTCCCAGGAATCAGACCTTGCATCCCTCTTTGCACCTGGGGCAAGTAACAGTGACCACATGAGACCATGTGTGTCAAATCTAGATATACCATTTAATACATGGTAGACCGTTTTAGATTGTACATCTTGAAGAAAACCTAGATCTCTCAATCTCCCCTTCTTAAAAAAGCATGGATTCAGGAGTCCCAATGTAGAGAAAAAAGATTAGAGTAGTAGTGATAAGAGATAGATTTGAGAAAGAAAAGAATATCAAATTTCATTTTAAGAAGGGTTGTTTTTCAAAATCTGGGTCCTAACCCATTCATGTATGAATTATGACCAAGGTTTTGATGAAGTATAAGAATAATGTAGGGGGACCAGCAGTTGGTGTAGTGGACTATGTCACTGGACTCCCATGTAGCCGACCACCGTTCGAGTCCCAGATCCAGTGGCTTAAACTCCTGCCGGGCGCATGTGTGTGCATGTGTGCATGTCCAAGATTCCGAGAGGAGAATGGAGGAGAAGGGATTGCGGTGTGACCATCCTCCCTAGGGGGTGATTTCTTGCTTTCTGTCTCTCTGTCTCTGTCTTTCTGGCGAGCACACGCACCCTGTAGCAAAAACCTCTCAAAAAAAAAAAAAGAGAGAGAGAGAAAGAACAATGTAGTCTCATTAGTCATAACTAATGTACCATTTTGGTAAGGAATATTGATAATGGGGAGGCTGTGCACATGTGGGGGCAGGGAATATGTGGAAAATATATGTACTTTTCTGCTCAATTTTGCTGGGAACCTAAAACTGCTCTAAAAAATGGTCTAGAGGTCAGTCAGTGGCACAGTGGTCAACTGCACAGTTCAAGTCCCAGACCAAGCAGCTTGAAAAACATGCCAGGCACATGTGCATGTATGCTCAGAATCCCAAAAGGAGAAAGAAATGGGAAAGAAGGAATGTGAAGAAATTATCCCCTTGGGGGCTGCTTTCACACTTTCTGTCTCTCTCCAGCAAGCACACACATCTGGAAGATTAAATAAATAAATGAAGCCTATTTTGAAAGGAAAAAAGTTCTACAATTATTTAATTTTATTTATTATTATTTTCCAGTTTGATCAGAGAGAAGGTGAGTGAGAAAGCAAGCCACTAGGTCTGGACTCCCACTGGCTATGGTCAGCCATGTGGGAGTCCAGCATCTTTAACTACCACAGCACCTGCTGGCTCCTGAAAAAAAATTTTTTAAGAAAACACATGAAGAGGGGCCAGCAGGTAGCATAGTGGTTAAGGTGTTAGACTCCCACATGGCAGACTTCAGTTCAAGTCCTGGACCTGGTGGCTTACTTTCTCACTTCCCCTCTCTCTGTCTCTCTTTGGTGAGCCGGTATGCCTTATAGCAAATTAAATAATAATAATGATAAATAAAATTAAACAATAAATCTTTTAAGAAAATGAAGATTTTTTCCCCTACTCCTTTAGATAGAAAAAAAGAAACAACAATGATATTCAGCACCACCCTGCCTCCTGCTTTATTTTCCATACAGCTGGCTTCTACTACACATCCTCTGATCTCATCCATGCTGATTCCAGGGTCCAGGTGCTCAGGTCTTTGGTCCATAATGTCAGGTGAAGCTCCCCACACTACCCCTAGTGACCACCTCCCCACACCCCCTAAGGCCTGATGGAGCTTCTGCCAACCGATGTTCTCATTCCCTGAAAGAAGAAATTCAAGGATAAATACACACACTTTTATATCCTCAGTCTCCTCCCACCCATTGTCAATACGCTAAAGGGACCCTCACCTAACTGGCCTGGAGAAGAGGCACCTGCATGGGGTGGAGAGAAGACTGGGGGGTAACTGCCCTTTGAATGAATGGTATGGAAGTGAAGGAAGAGCTTCACTCTAGGGGACAACTATCTAACTCGTCTTTCGCCGGCTTCCCACATTTGTCTTTTGGATTGTCACTCAGCCTCTTTCCAGTCTTTGCCCCACAGGTCACCTCCTTAGTCTATCCACTCACTGATTCCATACTCTACCCAGTGGTTTCTTATATGAGGGGTATTCAAAAAAGTTCACTGAAAATGCACATATTACAGAAAAATATGCATGAATTTCTATTTTTTGCACCAAAATAAAGTTGTCCTTTAATTTCATTTTCCCATAAACTTTATGAAGTCCCTTCATATTGTATTTCTCAGTTAACCTCATCCCAAATGCTCTTTGCCCCCACAGGAGTCCTCAGTGTCAGCTACTGCAGTTAAAAGAAGAGTCTGGTTTTCTTCTGAAAGCCTCCTTTCCCAAATTCCTCTCTCCCAAGCTTCTTCCCTCATCACCCACTACTTGAAACTGAGAAACCCATGTCCCTGAGGGCATACGGCAAGGCTACCTCACTCCTCCTGTATTCTGAGGATTCGCTGTAGGATATTGTACACGTCCTGTTCCAAGTAGCCCTGACAATGGCAGGAAAGAAACAAAAGGAGATAAAGATGTGGTACAGCCGGCTGCTGTTTACACTCTACCCTCACCTATAGTAGCTAACTAACTTCTCTATGGTTGTTTCCCTGTCTTCATAGAAACATGATGATGTCTGCTTCTCAGGACTGCTGGAGGGTTCCGACTAGGGATATGAAGCAAAGTGCCTGATACACAATGTGTTCTATTTGCCGCTGTCATTCCTGATAAAGAAACAAGCTACCCACACCTCTTCTTCCAGGGTTAGGGTTAAGTTGTTTCAGGAGGAAACTGGAAAAGGGTCGTGGGGACAGAAGAAGGCCTTACAGTTGTTCAGGGAATTGAAATGGAAGGCAAGGAGTCAGCAGGTTGTTAAGGCACTAGACGACTACCACATGGCCGACCACAGTTGGAGTCCTGGACCTGGCACTTTCTCACTTCCTCTCTTTCTCATCAAATTTAAAAAATAACAATAATGATGATGAATAAAATACAATAAGGTACAATACATTTTAAAAAGGAAATGAAGGGCAAACACCTCTTCCTCTTCTTGTTCATGCACAACTTCTCTTAATCTACCTAACGAGTATCGAGATCAGAAACCTGACACTGGGTCCTGCTTTCTGGGAAATGTACTAGGAAAAGAAGGGACTCCAAATGCATTGCCCCCTACCCAGATCTATGCCTCCATCTCCCCGAAGATCCACCATGCTTACCCGAGCAGCATTTAGCAGATGATTCCTGTAAGTGGAGATGATCTCTTCATGGTTCTTCTGGGAATCCTGGAGTGAGAATCAACAGGAAGTCATGTGCCACCATCCCCACACTCACCCAGTAGGAGGAGCAACGAAGTGAAGTGGTCAGCTTTACCACATATGCTCCCTTGGCCCACCCCTGGCCCACTCTGAACCCTGCCCAGCCAGGCCTCTGTAATTCCCAGAATGTCTCCCATGCATACATCACTCCCACTGTCCACCTTCTTCTCTCATAGCAGCCATTTCCCTGAGGGCCAGAACAAACCTGCAGCTGCAGGGCAAGGCGAGCATTTTCTCCCCGAACGGCTAGCACTTCCTCTGAAAGCTGCTCCAGCTTCTTCAACAACTCCTTGATCTGAGGGCAGAAGGATAAAGGAGGGAACCAGTGAGGCCCAAGTCATTGCTCTGCCTCAGACAGCACCCAGGGTCAAGGTCAGCTTCCTTATATTTGGTATTTAATATGTTCCAGATACTTTTATGCACATTGTCTCGTTTAATACTGAAGTATTATTATTCACATTTGGTAGATAAGAAGCCTGAGGTAAAGAGCTTGTCAAAATTACAAAGAGATGAAATCATGGTTTGAACCAAGACTTCTTTGACTCCATGGTCCCTGCTGTTTACTCAGTTCTGGATCCTAATGTACTTCTGGCTGTCCACCACAGAGGGACATGGAGATGAGTCTTTGAGGCTTGTGCGGTAGAAGTACAGATATGGTTCATGGGAGCCAACAATACTAAGAACAGTGGAAGAAGAAATACTAAAAGCTATCTTTAATTACCATGTGCCAAAAATTGTTCTGAATATTTTTACATTTTAGAGAACCAGCAGCTAGCATAATGGCTATGTTGCTGGACTCCCACGTAGTCGACCGCGGTTCGCGTCCCGGACCCGGTGGCTTAAGCACACGATGAGCGTGTGTGCGTCCGTGCCCAAGATCCCAAGAGGAGAATGGAGGAGAAGGGATTGCGGCGTGACCATCCCCCCTGGGGGGTGATTTCTCGCCTTCTGTCTCTATGTCTCTCTCTGTCTGTCTGGCGAGCGCACGCACCCTATAGCCAAAACCTCTCCAAGAAAAAAAAAAATATATATATATATGATATATATATATATATATTTAATTTTAATTATTTATTTCTTCCATGAGAGAGAGAAAAACAGAAAGAGGCACCCTCAACTGGGTCTTCACACAATTAGCCAGGATCACAAGCATGAATATGTTCAGGGAAGTCCCAGGACATGAACCCAGGATCATTCCCATGTGGATCCCAATTGTGTTACTACTGTGCCACTTCCTGCTCCCTGCTCTGATTGCTTTAAATGAAATATCTTATTTAGGGCCAGCAGGTGGTGCAGAGTTTAAAGTGGCTGTATCACACATGGCTGACTGACCAGTTTGAGTCCTGGAGCCTTGAAAAACATACCTAGTATGTGTGCATGCATACCCAAAATTCCGAGAGGAAAATGGAGGAGAAGAGATTGCAGTGTGGCCATGCCCCCCTGAAGGGTGATTTTTCACTTTCTCTCTCATTTATCTCCATCTCTCTCCAGTGAGTGCATGTGCCCTATAGCAATAACTAAAAAAAAAAACAAAAAAACCAAAAAACTTAATAGGGCCAGCAGGTGGCATGATATTTAAGGTGCTGGATCCCACACAGATGACTCTGCAATTCAATTCTCAGACCTGAAGGCTTGAGGATCACACCAAGTGCATGTGCGTGTGCGTCCAAAGTCTTGAGAGGATAGAGGAAAAGGGATTGCAGCATGGCCATCTTCCCTGTGGGGTTGGTTTCTCACTTTCTCTCTCTCTCTCTTTCTCTCTCTGCTGAATGTATTCTATGGCAAACATCTTAGGAAAAAGAACTTATTTAATGTAATACTCAAAATCACCTTATTACTATCTTATTTTTTTCTTTAAATTTATTTATTTACATTCATTCACTATACATCATCACAGCAAACAAAATGAGATTTCCCATCCAGAATACACTGTATATTGGCTCAATCAAGCACATCAACATACATGTTATCGTCAACAAACAATTTTACATTTCCTATGTCCTGTATACTTTATTTACCATCTTTTTATAGATGAAACAATGAGGCTTAGTGATGTTAAATAGCTTGCCAAAGATCAAACCAGTATGTTTTGAACATTCAGAATACCTCAGTCCTGTCTCTCTCTCTCTCATGTGTGTGTGTGTGTGTGTGTGTGTGTGTGTGTATATATTTTTTTAAGAGAAATGTTTGCTATAGGGCACATGTGATCACCAGAGAGAGACAGAGAGATAGAAAGCAAGAAATCATCCCCTGGGGGGGATGGCCATGCTGCAATCCCTTTCCCTCCATTCTCCTCTTGGGATTTTGGGCATGCATGCACATGAACCCAGCATGAGTTTTAAGTTGCCGGTTCCAGGACTCAAACCATGGTCGACTGTGTGGGAGTCCAGTGATGTAATTATTATGTCATCTGTTGTCCCAGAGACTATATTCTTAACTACTACACTTACTTCCCTTTGCCCATTTGTCTATTTTCATCTCCTTCCACACAACACAAAATCCCTCCTTTCTTTCATTAACTCTACTCCAACGATCCTAGTATTTTTATGCACTCTATATACTATATAAAATGTATATGCTTATATTTTTCAATAATTTAAAATTTGATCAGGTATACAAGTTTTAGTAAGTTTGGGAACCAGTAGTTGGAGTAATGGTAACGTTGCTGAACTACCACATAGTCAACCACAGTTTGAGTCCCAGACCTGGTGGCTTAAAACTCACTCTGGGTACATGTGCATGCATGCCCAAAATCCTGAGAGGAAACTGGAGGAGAAGGGATTGCAGCATGGCCATCTCCCCTGGGAGGTGCTTTCTGTCTGTTGTGAGCACACGTGCCCTATAGCAAAAATCTGTCTTTTAAAAAAATAGTCCGAATTTATTTCACAGGTAGTTCTAGAATTATTAAATTCATTGGTAAATTGATTATTTAGAATTCATAAAATGGGTCTCATAGAAACATGTAGATTTCACACTTTTAGAGCAAACATTATGAACCCCTGGTATTTTTTTTAGAGGTTTCTGCTATAGGGCATGTGCACTCGCCAGAGAGACAGAAAGAGAGAAATCACCCCCAAAGGGAGGCATGGCCACACCACAATCCCTTCTCCCTCATTCTCCTCTCAGGATCTTAGGCATGCACACACACAAACCCAGCGTGAGTTTAAGCCACCAGGTCCAGGATTTGAAACGTGGTCAATTATATGGGAGTCCAGTAACATAGCCATTACGCCATCTGCTGGTCCCAGGAACCTCTGGTATTTAAAAGTGATTTTCAAGGTTTTTTTTTCTTTGCACTGGTGCCCTCTTTGCTAACGGAAATATTTCACAGAAGCCACTCTGAAGTTGGAAGAGAGAAAAGACGCTATAGCTAGGGCTCCTTTTGTTTAACACCTAGTCCCTGAGTTAGTGCCTCAAAACTTCAGCAAAACCACAGCCACTCATCATACTATTAGGTCTCTTCCCAGGTCTACACTAAGTAAAAATGCTAGGAAACGGCGGTGTGCCCCTGGTGGTAGCCCTGAGTGCACTGCTTCTGAACCCTGAGAGCCAAATGCTATACACACCTTACCTGCACACCCTACCTCACCAGCTTCAACCCTAAACCCCCTCAGACCCAGGAAACTTGGTGTTGGGCCTGCAAATGATTATAGGTGCTCTGTTTGGGATATCATCTGATCAATGGAGGGTTGCTAGATTCAGATTAGCAAACCCCTAAACACACGGAGCGTTCTCTACAGCGGCCTCTGTGGCTCACCTTGGCCTCCTTGTCCCGGCAAGCCCCAATGAGATGCTCCATCTTGTCCTTCAGCAGCTCTGCGGTCTTCTCAAACTGCTCAGAGCGCCCGCGCATCTCCCTGGCCTGGCGCTCCTGCTCGGCTGCACGGGTTGCCAGGTCCCCGCTCCTGCGGCGCTCCTCCGCCACCGCCTCCCGCAATCGACTCATTTCCCGGCAGGCAGTGTTATACTTTTCAAGCAGAACCTTGAGCTCCTGGCCCCAAGCTTGGGCTTGGGCCACCAGAGAACCCCGAGTTTTCTCGTGCTGCCGCAGGCTGGCCGCCTCCCGGGCCCTCAGCTCAGCCACCTCCTCTGTGGCTTGGTAGAGCAGCTGCTTCAGTTTCCCTATCTCCTGGCTCTTACCACTCATCGTGGCCTGCACAGCCCGCAGCTCCTCCTCCAGCTTCCCCAGGTCTTGCTCCAGAGCAGCCACTTGAGGGGAAACTTGGGCCTTAAAGGTGGCGTCCAGCTGCCCACCTGAGGGTAGGCACTCCCGCAGCTGCTGGTTTTCCTCCTCCAGCTGAGTCAGCACCTGCTGGGTCTCCCGGTGCCTGTCGACCAGGGAGCGGATGCAGGCCTGCAGCTCCTCCAGGGGCTCTGCGGCAGAGCTCAGGGCACTTCCCCTGCCCACTAGGTCTGGGGGCAGGCAGTCCCACAGCCCTCGGAGGCCGCTGCTCTGGGAGGCCAGGCGCTCCCGCAGCTTCTCTGTGGCCTCCTTCTCTGTGGCTAGTTCATCGGTCAGCAGCCCCACACTTCTCCGCAACTGCTGTAGCTGGACCTGCGCCTCTGGCTTGGGCACAAACTCCCGCTGTAGCCGCTGGCTCAGGAACTGCAGCTCTCCCTGCAACCGCTGCCGCTCTCGTCCCAGCTCTCCCAGCTCTTCCAGCAAGTTACTGTTGCTCAGTCTCAGTGCAGACACCTCCTTCTCCAGATGTCCCCTTGCTAAGCCTCCTCCTGGGACCTGTTCTCCTCCAGGGGCCCCTAGGGGCTCTCCTCGGGCCCCAGGAGCCCTTTTCTCCTTCACTTCGTCCTCTCTGATGCTCGCTGGGGCTGCCCTTGTGGTTCTCTCTCTGGACTCCTGAGCAGGAGCCTCAGGTGCCACCTGTAGTCCTGCCTTTGCTCGGTCAAGCCTCACCAGCACCCGCTCCAGCCGGGCCTCCATCTTCTCCCAGGCAGCTGCTGCAGCCTCAGCTCGGGGAGTCCCCAGGACTCCCTCTAGGATGGGTCTTGACAAAGCCCCCCGGGCAGCATCCTTTTCTCTCCACACTGCCGCCAGCTCCTCCCTTAGTTGTAGCAGGAGTTGCTTCACGGCTGCTGTACCCACTGGGTCAGTCACTGTACCTGCTGGCTCAACCTCTGAAGCCTGAAGCAGCTCCTTCTGGCCAGCATGCTGCTGGTCAGTACAATTAGGGCTAAGTGTCTGTTCCCTGCTGATGGTTGGTGGCTGTCCTGTGGCTTTCCCAGTGATCTCACACCTTGGGCTCTGGAGTGGTGCCAGTTCTTCTGGTTGGGGCATCCCATGTACTTCATATTGGGTTTCTCCTGGGGCCAAATCCTCAGCCTTCTTGGGATCTGATGTTGGCTTTACTGTGGCCACTGCCTGTCGCTGTTTTAGTTCTTGTATGTGCTCAGCCAGCAGGTACAAGGGACAGCCTTGCTCCATGCCATCCCCTCCAGGCCGGAGACTAGAGCCCTCCTCCTCAGGAGTGCCAGACTGTCGGGACAAAAGGAGCCCTAGCTCCTGCACCTGCTCTCGAATCTGGTTCTCCAGGCCCAGGTAGGCTGCAGCTTGAGCCTTACACTCCTCTGTCTTTCGTACCAGCTCCTGCTCCAACTGAGAAACTTTCCTCTGCTCCTCTTCATACTTCCACCTCCACTCCTCTGAGCACGGGTCCTCATCCTCCTCTTCCTCCTGCTCCTCCTCAGGCTCTGCTCTCCATGGGCTTTTAGGTGGAGAACCTATCTGGGACCCAGATGGAGAGGCCTGTATTAAAACAGAATAGTGGAGTGAGGCCATGCAGTTAACTTAGTGCCAGGAGGGCCTTTCTTGTCGTAGAGTGTCTTGATACCCCAAGGACCACTGGAAGATGGTCCCAATGAGAAGCAAAAGAAGGTGGAGGTACTTAGGATCTTACCTGGGATACAAGATCTGGGTGTTGAACTAGACTCTGACCTGTAAGAAAAGATATGGAGAAAATGAGAGACAAGACAGATCTGATGTGCTTCTAGGCTGAACTCTGTCTTCAAATTTTCTCTAAGGCAAGGCACCTCAGTGTGATAACCCTCACCACACATCTTCCTAGTCCCAGGGGCAACTTCTGTTCAATGGGTCCCTGAGTATCCAGGAATTTTGGTTTCCCATCCCAGAGATAGGCTAGCTCATTCATTTTGTTCACTTGTTTATTAGTCACTATGCCAGACACTGTACTAGCCACTGGGACCTCAATGGTGAACAGAGTAGAAGTGGACTGTCTCCTGAGGGGCTGACAGTCTAGTAAGGGAGACAGAGATTGGCAAACAAATCACACAAATATTGGTATAAGTTATAGACTTGAGCAACAACACTAGCTAGAGTTGCCCTCCTAGAGAGATAAAGCTACATGAAAGAATTTTGTGAGCATGCTTTTGAGAATTTGGTGTCACCCCATAGAGGCTGCAATAAATAAGTAGACTCTTGAATAAAGTGACAATTATTTGTCAGATGAGCTACTTCCATGGGAACAAATGGAATTCTAAGAAACTTCTTCAATCCTATGGCCATCAAGGAGAACCTTGTTTTTGTTTTTGTTTTTCTTTGTTTGTGATAGAGCATGTGAGAGTGAGAGAGACACCAGGGTCTGGTCATGCCATGATCCCCTTCTCATGGACCTCCAGTCCTTCAGATCTTGAGCTTGCATGCCCAGCATGCTTCAGAGTGGCCAGGCTGGGATTCGAGCTACATTCACCATGTGGAATCCAGCGTCTCTTGAGCAGTGAATTACCACTGCACCACAGATCTGGCCCTCGAGGTGAATCTTGAAGTTACCACAGGGCTTTACCTCCCCGCCGTCGCCGGTTCAGGGCCTGTCGTAGCAGCCTCCACAGTGCCTTGTCCTTTGTGTTCAGGGCGTAATGCAGAGCATCGTGCCCCGTGCTGTCCACTGTGCCCACATCTGCTCCGTGGCTCAGGAGCAATCCAGCCACCTCAGCACTGCCTTTTTCACAGGCCAGGATCAGAGCCGATCTGTGGGTTGAGATGAATCTGAGCATAGCTTTTCCTCAGAGTATTAAGAGTTCTAGGTCTAGAAATTTACTTCTCAGAGTAAATTCTCACTCAGTGGAGTCAGGAGAATAACAGATCAACCTGACAATGACAAAGCTTTAGGCCAGAATAGCAAGACAGCACTTTTCTTTCTTTAAGAATTATTTATTTGGGACCAAAAAGTGATGTGGTGGTTAAGTGCACTGGATTCCCACATGGCCAACTGCGGTTCGAGCACCAGGCCGGGCAGCTTGCCTTCTCACTCTCTCTCTCTCTCTCTCTCTCTCTGTCCCTCTCTGGTCAAATTTAAATAAAAATAAATAAAGCTAAATAAAAGAATTCTTTAAAGAAAAAAGAATGATTTAGTTGGGGCCAGTAGGTGGTATGGTGGTTAAGGGCACAGGACTCCCACATGACCGACTACAGTTCAAGTCCCAGACCTGGAGACTTGCTTTGTCACTTTCTTTCTCTCCCTCCCTCCCTCTCCCTCTCTGGTCAAGTTAAAAAATAAGTAAATAAAAATAAATAAAGTTAAATAAAATAATTCTTTAAAAAATAATTATTTTTCTTAAATTTTTGAGAGTTTTTTGCTATAGGGCGTGTGAGCTCGCCAGAAAGACAGAGAGAGACAGAGAGACAGAATGTGAGAAATCACCCCCCCACGGGGAATGGCCACACCACAATCCCTTCTCCTCCATTCTCCTCTCAGGATCTTGGGCACACACGCACACATGCCCAGTGTGAGTTTAAGCCACCATGTCTGGGACTTGAACTGCGGTCAGCTACATGGGAGTCTAGCAACATAGCCATTATGCCAACTGCTGATCCCAATTAATTATTATTTTTTAACTTGACCAGAGAAAGAAAGTGAGAAAGCAAGTTGCCAGGTTCAGAAATCAGACTGTAGTCAGCCACATGAGAGTCCAGCCCCCTCAACCACCATGGCCCCTGCCAGCTTTTTCTTTTCTTTTTTTACCCCTCTCTTTTTTTTTTTTTTTTTCTTTTTCTTTTTACTTTCTATAGTGTGTGCACTCACTCGAGTGAAACAGAAAGAGAAGGAAAGTGAGAAATCACTCCCCAGGGGGGATAGCCATGCCACAATCCCTTCTCCTCCATTCTCCTGAGATTCTGGGCATACATGCACGTGTGCCTGGTGTGACTGTCAAGCCACCAGGTCTGGCACTCAAACAGTGCAGTTGGCCATGTAGGATCTAATTGCCTTAACTTCTGCACCAACTGCTGGCCCATAGACCAGAACTTTTCAAATGTTGTTTTTGTTTTTGTTTTTTTTCAAAGAGAGACTTTTGCTATAGGACACATGTACTTGCTATAGAGACAGAGACCTAACGATGAAAAGTGAGAAATCACCTCCCCAGGGAATATGGCCCTGCTACAATCCCTTCTCTACCAGTCTCCTCTCAGAATTTTGGGCACTCATACACATGTGCCCAGAGTGAGTCTTAAGCCTCCTGGTCTAGGACTCAAACTATGATCCAAACATGGGAGTTCAGCAACATAACCATTATGCCATCTGCTGGTCTCATTTTTATGTTTTATATATTAAGGTTCTACATAAAATTTTATGGGGAAAAAAAGAATCCCATTGCTTAGGAAAGAGTTTGAAAACCAGTAAATTGAGCCAATGTGTCCAGAAGGATGGATTCTACTTCTGAGGTCACTTACTGGGAAAAAGACAGTGGTAGCAGGCAAGCTCTTCTGAACCTTCTCTGGGAGGAAGGGAGGGTTCCCAGAACTTCTCCTCAACACACACACACACACACACACACACACACACACACTTTGCCCACTGTCTCCTTCTACATTGGTCAGTCTGAATATGGGTGTGCAAACACGGGGAGGGCTTACTTGTCATCCTTGTCAGTCACATTAACTCGGGCGCCTCTCTGCAGCAGCTGTGAGCAGATAGCTGCGTGACCACCCAGAGATGCGATCATCAGGGGTGTTCGTCCATCCTGCATGGATTGTGAGAAAGGGGTTCATGTGGAGCCAGAAAGAGCCAGGAGCTGGACACTACCCTTCCAACTCCCCTTTGCCAACACCTCTCCAGAGAAACAAGTCATCCTGGGGCTAAATACTCCTATTTGGAGAGTTAAAAGTTCTCCAGAAGAGAAGGTTTAACTTCTCTGTGAGGACAAGGAGGAATGCAAGGAGAAAGAGGAGGATGGTGCTGTACAACCCAGTTCATAGAATTTGAGCTGTCAAGCTCAGAGAGAACAGTAGCCTCCCTGTGCAGGGCGCCTCCCAGGTACCCAACTGATACTCACATTATCCAACACATCCAGGAAGGCTTCGTGGTCACACAGCAGGAGCACACTTGAGGCACAACCAGAGGAGGCTGGGGAGGGTTGAGAGATGTCTGGGTTAGAGGCCTACTCAGACTAAGACCCAGCCTCCCCTCTGACCATTTCAGTGCTTGGCCCTGGCTGCCCGCCCCTTCCTATGTAATCTTCGTTCCCATTTCCCACCCTATCATTCCTGCAGCCATGTTCCCACCAGTTCCCTGGCACACACCTGCCCAGTGCAATGGACTGCGGTTCTCTGCATCCACAGCATCTTCATTAGCACCATGCTGCAAATAGCCACAAAAGGAAGCAGCATGGAGCTTGGCATTAACATCCTCCTCCCACACCCCCATTTGTTCACCACCTTCCATGGTAATATAGGGAGGAGCAGGAGGACTGGCGCTCTGGGGGAGGCCAACTAACAGCCAAGCCAAGTCCATTCCCTGCAGATGATAGGCAGACTTGAATTTTAGCCCTGGTTCCTAAACCTAGGGCCTCAGGAAATCAGATAGACAAGTAAATATGGTAGTGAAAATGACACCTGAGTCTACGGATGGTACTTTACAATCATAATTACAAAACTCGGGAAGAGTCAGGAAGAACAAAAGCAGAATAGCCATTTGCCCAGTGGCCTGTTGAGGTCATTGTGTTTTGTACTTTTAGAAACTCATTTATAAGTTTACCACATATACGTTTCTCTTTATGCTACTGGACTATAAATGACTCAAAAACAGGCACTTTTAATTTGAACACTTCTGCCCTCCTTCCACCTGCCCATCATCATACCAGTCTGCAAGTGGCTTGATTGACATCAGTGCCCAATAGTCCCCAGCAACTCTATTTTGTGACCTGCCCTAGAGGGCAGTATTGAGCATGGTGTCCACACATAGTAGCTGTTTAAGCAATGTCTGTGAATAAATGATTATGAGCCCTCTTACTAGAGGCGGGAGGGGTAAATTTTCCAACTATTGCTTGTAACTACAAGACAAAGTTAAGAGGCTGGTTCCATTTCATCCATTCGCAGGAGTAGAATCAAGAGCCTGCTTTTACCTGAAGCAGAACCTTGACACACTGTGGCTGGCAGGAGATGGTGGCCAAGTGCAGGGCGGTGCTTCCTGGAAATAGAAAGAGGGAGAGAGGGAGGTGGGGTGGCCCCATGCATGCTGATGACTCACAGGGAGGGAAGGCAAGAGACGCACAGATAATCAGAGGGAGATTAGAGAGAGAAGCTTTCGGTCACACAGGGCCAGAAATTCCAGTTCCCCAAGTGGAGGTGGGAGTAGGGGCAAGGTATGCCCAGCTTGCACGGAGGGGACCCCTGGAGAGATACTGACCAGATCTTACTGAGGAGACAAGCCAGGGACCACAGCTGGAATCTCTAGCAGGGCCCAGCACTGGCCCCTTCTACTGCCATCAAGGGCCCTGTAAGCAGCATGGCCCAGCCCTTCATCTAACTCACCGTCCTCATTCTTGCTGTTGATGTCAGCCCCATTTGTGAGCAGTATAGTCAGACACTCTGTCAGGCCTTTCGAGGCTGCGAGATGAAACCTGCCAACATGAAAGCCAAGAGGCAGAAAGATGAAGGGACTAGGGATGAAGGGAGGACCTTCATAAGCACTCCTTGCTATGCTCCCTACCCCAAGGCCAGTTCCAAAAGCAGGGGTGAAAGCTTCCCAGCCTGACTTCTTTTTTTTATTGGGGGGGTGGGGTGAGGCGGGAGAGGGGGAGAGATTTTTGCTATAGGGCTGTGTGCTTATCAGAGAGACAGAGACAGAAAGCAAAAAATTACCCTCCAGGAGGAATGACCACCCTGCAATTCCTTCTCTTCCTCCATTCTCCTCTCAGGACTTTGGGCACACATGCACACACACCTGGTATGAGTTTTAAGCCACCGAGACCAGCACTCAAGCCATGGTTGACCAGTATCAGTCCAGTGACAGAACCATTATGCCATTTCCCAGCCTGACTTTTTTTTTTTTTTTGGAGAGGTTTTTGCTATAGGGCATGTATGCGTGCGAGAGAGAGACAGAGACAGACAGAAAGTGAGAAATCACCCCCCAGGAGGGATGACCACGCTGCAATCCTTTCTCCTCCATTCTCCTCTCATCCCGAGAGGAGATGCATGCATGCACACGCGCCCGGCGTGAGTATAAGTCACCAGATCCAGGACTTGAACCGCAGTCAACTATGTGGGAGTCCAGCGACATTGCCATTACGCCAACTACTGTTCCCCCACAGCCTGACTTCTTAAGAAAGATAGACAAGCTACATGGCATGCAGTCATAAAGTCAGAGGAGGTGGAGACAAAGACAGAAGTAAGAGCTACAGCTCTCAGGGAATCTCAGATAATTGCAGGATGTCCAGGGAATACATAGTTACCTGCCTCTCTGGGCACAGAACCTCAGTAGAATGGGAGCCGTCACAGAAAGAGTCAGCCAGAGCAGAGCAGAAAGCTGGACATTGGCGACTGATTTGGGCAGAGACAGGGATATGGCTACCACTTCATTCCTGATTTCCCAAGCATACATACCCTCCTACTTATGCAATGCAGACATGCTCTATTTATTGTATGTATTTGTTCGCTGTTTATTTCATGGGATTTTTGTCCTTTTTGAGTCAGTGATCGCAATCTGGGTTTTGAGGTGGATGAAATTTAGGAATAATATATCTTCTCTCACTTTCTGCAGTTCTTCCTATATACTATATAGAAAAGGATTATCGATATGCTTGCTAATTAAGACAACAAAAAGTGGGACCAGCAGTTGGCGTGATGGCTATGTTGCTGGACTCCCATGTAGTTGACCACAGTTTGAGTCCTGGACCCGGTGGCTTAAACTCATGCCGGGTGCATGTGCGTGCATGCCCAAGATCCCGAGAGGAGAATGGAGAAGAAGGGGTTGCAGCATGGCCATCCCGCCTGGGGGGTGATTTCTCACTTTCTGTCTCTCTGTCTCTGTTTGTCTTTCTGGAGAGTGCACGCGCCCTATAGCAAAAACCTCTAAAAAAAAAAAAAAAGACAACAAAAAGAGCTCTGAAGTTATAGGTATTACAGAACCATTTTGCCTTTTCCCCGCCTGCTTTTTTTTTTTTTTTTTTGGAGAGGTTTTTGCTATAGGGCATGTATGCGCTCGACAGAAAGACAGAGACAGACAGAAAGTGAGAAATCACCCCCCAGGAGGGATGACCACGCTGCAATCCTTTCTCCTCCATTCTCCTCTCATCCCGAGAGGAGATGCATGCATGCACACGCGCCCGGCGTGAGTATAAGTCACCAGATCCAGGACTTGAACCGCAGTCAACTATGTGGGAGTCCAGCGACATTGCCATTACGCCAACTACTGTTCCCCCACAGCCTGACTTCTTAAGAAAGATAGACAAGCTACATGGCATGCAGTCATAAAGTCAGAGGAGGTGGAGACAAAGACAGAAGTAAGAGCTACAGCTCTCAGGGAATCTCAGATAATTGCAGGATGTCCAGGGAATACATAGTTACCTGCCTCTCTGGGCACAGAACCTCAGTAGAATGGGAGCCGTCACAGAAAGAGTCAGCCAGAGCAGAGCAGAAAGCTGGACATTGGCGACTGATTTGGGCAGAGACAGGGATATGGCTACCACTTCATTCCTGATTTCCCAAGCATACATACCCTCCTACTTATGCAATGCAGACATGCTCTATTTATTGTATGTATTTGTTCGCTGTTTATTTCATGGGATTTTTGTCCTTTTTGAGTCAGTGATCGCAATCTGGGTTTTGAGGTGGATGAAATTTAGGAATAATATATCTTCTCTCACTTTCTGCAGTTCTTCCTATATACTATATAGAAAAGGATTATCGATATGCTTGCTAATTAAGACAACAAAAAGTGGGACCAGCAGTTGGCGTGATGGCTATGTTGCTGGACTCCCATGTAGTTGACCACAGTTTGAGTCCTGGACCCGGTGGCTTAAACTCATGCCGGGTGCATGTGCGTGCATGCCCAAGATCCCGAGAGGAGAATGGAGAAGAAGGGGTTGCAGCATGGCCATCCCGCCTGGGGGGTGATTTCTCACTTTCTGTCTCTCTGTCTCTGTTTGTCTTTCTGGAGAGTGCACGCGCCCTATAGCAAAAACCTCTAAAAAAAAAAAAAAAGACAACAAAAAGAGCTCTGAAGTTATAGGTATTCCATAGTCTACATCATATTGGAGTTTGGCCCTTTCAGGGGGACCCACATACAGGGAAGGTTAGGAGGACTTACGGGGACTGGCCGTTGGAGTCTAGCTTGGTGGGTCGGGCAGACTTTCGGGAGGCCAGGGCAAGCCACGCGTCCCCCATCCCCCCGCTGCACTGCCTCCAGCAGCTTCTGATCACGACGGTTCCATCTCTCCACCTGGTCCAGAGCCACAAAGTGAATATAAGGGGTGGGAGTGGTGCAGACAAAGAAAAGAGGAAGATGGGGGCCAGCAGGTGGCATGGTAGTTAAGGGTGCTGGACCTCCACATGGCCGGCCCTAGCCCTGCTTTCTCACTTTCTCTCTCTCTCTCTCTCTCACTTTGGTCAAATTAAAATAAATAAATAAATAAATGAAGTTAAATAAGATAATTTTTGAAAAGAAAAGAGAGGTTTAGGATGGCAAGTAAGGAAAAAGAGCCATCCCTGAAGTCCTTTCACTGTTCTATCAGTTACTCGGCCTAGCTCACTGTGTCCTTCTTAGGTGTGCCAGCTAGATATTAACCACCTCATGTGCCACCAAGAATGATTGCTGGTTATCGTCAGCCCTGGGCCAAAGTGCTCAGACCACTGAATTAAAAATCATTTATGAGTGCTGAATGCATAGTATTTCAAATTTAAGCATCTTTTTATCAGTCTTATGACAATTATTGTTGTTAGGTGTTCAACCTCCAAACAATCCAAGTCACAACTCCCTTCCTTTTTTTTTTTTTTTTTTGAGAGAGAGGCTTTTAATATAGGGTGTGTACACTCACCAGAGAGACAGAAAGTAAAAAGTCATTCCCCCAGGGATACCCAGAATTCCTTCTCTTTCATTCTTCTCTTGGGATTTTGGGCATGCATGTTGTTTCAAGTCACCAGGTCCAGGACTTGAACTGTGGTTGACCACATAGGAGTCCAGTGCCTTAGCCATTATGCCACCGGTTTGCCCCATGCAATGCTTGTTTTTGTTCTTAGTTATGTGAAAAGTAAATCAAGGCACTTAGCTTCAGGTCACTGTCAGGAGTTCAAATACCTAACCAAACTGTATCTACCCATTAGCTTTAGGCTCCCAAATCTGGAAGGGAAACGCATTCTGTTTCTCACATCATATCTGCGTCCTTTAGATAGCTTCTCTCTCCCTTCCACAGGAACAACCACCAACAGGCAAAGATGGGTCTCTAGCTATGTAGGAGGAGGCAGGAGGAGGCAGGAGGAGGCAGGAGGAGGCAGGAGGAGGCAGGAGGAGGCAGCAGGAGGCAGCAAGGGGCAGCAGGAGGCAGCAAGGGGCAGCAAGGGGGGCAGCAAGGGGCAGCAAGAGGCAGCAAGAGGCAGCTCCCCAGCTCCCCAGCTCCCCAGCTCCCCAGCTCCCCTCCTTCCCCTTTTCCACTCCTCTGCCTTCACTTCCCTCCTATTATAGTTTCCCTGGCAGGGAGCAGCTGTCCCAGACAACAGCCACACCTGGACATATATTGTTCTGCCATTCCAGCTTGAGTTTTTGCGGGTGGTGGAGTAATTACAGTAATTGAAGTATTATGGGGCGTGAAAGAGAGAGCTGTGTAAAAACACCAGGGCTGAAAGCACAGAAAAGCCTGGTTTGGTTCAGAGAGGAGGAAGGAGAAGCAAAAGGGATGGATATAGAGATCTATGGTCTGGTGAACAGGGTTCCAGATGGGTATTTTGTTGCTACCTGAGTTTGGGACCCGGTTCAGCTACATTCTAGCTATATGACCTAGAGTAAACCATTAAATACCTCTAACCTGTTTCCTCATCTGTAACGTGTGTAATAACTACCTCATCATGTTGTGAGCAGTAAATGAGCGAATGTATATAAAATCTCTTTGTACACTGTAAAGAGTCACACACATGTGAAGCAGCTTATAACAAACAGGAAGTAGGGGGGACTGGTGGTGGCATGTTGCATTTTATGAGGTGTAATCTCAACAAGACAGAGGTGAAGAAAAAATAGAGTCTGTGGAAACCCAATAATTTTCGAATACTGTTTACATAGCCAGGGCAAATTATTACTCAGCAACAGTAAAGGTTTAAATGCCCAGGCCATAAACTTATCTGGGGTAGATACATTCTGAGGTCATTCTGAACAGTGCTTGTAACTTTTCACAGCCCTTTCCGGTGCTATTTCAATTAGTCTCTCAACATCCCTGGAAAGTAATTAGGGCTGATAGTATTTTTATCTCTCTGACAGAAGAAACACACTAAGGTTAGATAACTGTCCAGAATCACACAACAGAGTGGTAAAATTGGGATTAGAAACCAGGGCAAGTGGTGACTGATTCTAGTTCTGACTACCAGACCCACACTAGTGCAGAGCTATGGAAAAAAGGTCACTTATTTCCAGATAAACAATCTAAGATCGCCTCTGGTGCAAAGCCGCCCACCTTCAGATGCTACTCCTCACAAGGAGAATGTCTAAACAGGTTAATTCTCAGTGAACAAAATAAGCAAAATGACTCCTCCACATACTGACAGACTCTGACATGTGAGAACATATTTTCTAGTGCCCCTTGGGGCCCAGGGCCTCCCCAGGAAAAGTGGAGAATGCTATGCCTCCACCGCTATGCCTCCACCACACAGCACTGCCATAAGCTGAACTGTTTTCAGTTATTTCTTTTAAATTTAAAAAAAATGGGCCAACTGATGACATGGTGGTTAAGGCTGCTGGGCACCACATGGCTGACTTTGCAGTTTAAGTACTAGACCCGGTGACTTGAAAAACATGCTGGGCGTGCATACATGAGTGCCCAAAATCTCAAGAGGAGAATGCAGGGACCAGCAGTTAGCATAATGGCTATGTTACTGGACTCCCATGTAGTTGACCGTGGTTCGAGTCCCGGACCTGGTGGCTTAAACTCATGCCAGATGCGTGTGCGTGCATGCCCAAGATCCTGAGAGGAGAATGGAGGAGAAGGGATTGTGGCATGGCCATCCCCCTGGGGGGTATTTCTTGCTTTCTATCTCTCTGTCACTCTCTGTCTTTCTGGTGAGCACACTTGCCCTATAGCAAAAAAAAACCTCTCAAAAAAAAAAAAAAAGAGAGAGAATGCAGAAGGGATGGCGTATGGTCATTCCCCTCCGTCTCTCTCTGGAGAGTGAATGTGCCCTATAGCAAAAAGGAAAAATAAATATAAATAAAATTTAAGACAAGGGGCCCAACCTGTGGTGTGGTAGTTAAGGCGGCTAGATCCCATATGGCCAACTGCATTGTTCAAGTCCCTGACCTGCTGGCTTAAAAAAATATGCCAGGGGACCAGCAGTTAGCATAATGGCTATGTCGCTGAACTCCCATGTTGTCGACCACAGTTCGAGTCCTGGACCTGGCGGCTTAAACTCACACCAGGCATGTGTGCATGCATCCCCAAGATCCCAAGAGGAGAATGGAGGAAAAGGTATGGTGGCATGGCCATCCCCCACGTGGGCTGCTTTCTCTCTTTCTCACTCTGTCTCTCTCTCTCTTTCTGGCAACCGCATGCACCCTATAGCAAAAACCTCTCCAAAAAAAGAAAGTGCCAGGTGCATGTGTGCCCAGAGTCCCAAGAGGAGAATGGAGGAAAAGGTATGGTGGCATGGCCATCCCCCACGTGGGCTGCTTTCTCACTTTCTCACTCTGTCTCTCTCTCTCTGGTGAGTGTATGTGCCTTCTGGCAATTAAAAAAAATAATAATCATTAAGTAGAGGTCCCACCATGCTGCAATTCTGTCACAGTCTCCCAGCTAGGACTACAGGCATGCACCACCAGGCCCAGCTCGTCATTCTTGCTATGTTGCCCAGGCTAGTCTCAAGCTCATAATCCTCCTGTCTCTGCCTTCTAAATTGCTGGGATTATAGGCACATGCCACCATGCCACACCTATAGGCTAGACCCTGATTCACATTCATGCTTCCCATGTGGTCCAGCCTGCAGAGCAGTGCTTTTGTTGTGGTTGTTTTTTGAGAGTTTTTTGCTATAGGGTGCATGCACTTGCCAGAAAGACAGAGAGACAGAAAGAGAGAAATCACCTCCCAGGGGGATGGCCACTCTGTAATTCCTTCTTCTCCATTCTCCTCTCGGGATCTTGGGCACGCACGCACACGTGCTTGGTGTGAGGTTTTTTGTTTGTTTGTTTGTTTGTTGAGAGGTTTTTGCTATAGGGCGCTTGCGCTTACCAGAAAGACAGAGAGAGGCAGAGAGACAGAAAGCGAGAAATCACCCCCTAGCGGGGATGGCCACACCGCAATCCTTTCTTCTCTATTCTCTTGGGATCCTGGGCATGCACGCACATGCGCCTGGCATGAGTTTAAGCCACAGGGTCCAGGACTTAAACCGCAGTCGACTACGTGGGAGTCCAGTGACATAGCCATTACGCCAACTGCTGGTCCTGAGAGCACAGTGTTTTAACAACATGTGCCACCACAACTGGGCCTTAAAATCTTGATTCTAACATCTTCTGTCTCTGTGAATTTAGGCCTATAACAACTTCTCTGGACTTCAATTTCCTAATGACATAACAACATATAAAGCATCTAGCTCTTGTCTGTCACATAGTGGGTACACAATAAATGTTAGTTCTAATCCTCATCCTTTTTAGCCTTGCTGGACACATTCTGGATGTTTGTAGGCTCCGAATTTTTCAGCCATGGGAGTGACAGAAGGTATCTTGCTCTTATCAGCCAATTAATAACAGCCAGACTGGATAGAAGGTAAAGATGCTATCTTTCCAGCTAGATAGTTATGAATACACCCGACCTACTTTCTATAATATTATTATGCTAAGAGCCATTTAGAAAGGCTGAGATTCTTCATAACTAAATCTCTGCAGGGCTGCAATAAAAAAGAACTTCCAAATTCTAAGATCCAATTCTATTGCTTCTTCCAGCACCTTGAAAAGAAGGCACTAGATTACCATGGTAGCCGTAAGGGAGCAAGCACCAAATTAATCACAGACTCAGTAACAAGGATAACCTTCACGGTTCTATAGCTGAAATTAGGAGGCCTCTGTAGAAGTAGTTGTACTTTTTCCTTATCTCTTAAAAAAAAGAAAGGTGGAGGCCAGCAGGCAATGTGAAGGTTAAGGTGTTGGATCCCACATGGCCAGCCTTGCAGTCCAAATCCTGGATCTGGCAAATCCAGAGAGGAGAACGGTGGAGAAAGGATTGTGCCTTGACCATCCCCTGGGGGTTGTAGTCTCACTCCTCACCCCCACAAGTACACATGACCTAGAGAAGCAGGTAGAGAGAAAAAGTGGCTACTGATGAGGAATAGGTGAATGGAAATGGAAAGCTGCTCTGGAGGAACTGGGACCTGAATTTGGATGCTTTCAATGTAATAGCCAATCCTCTAAACTGATGCCGTGTCAGCTTTTCTGGTGTACTCCTTACGTAGGCAGCGTAAGCTCATACGTAAGATACCCTCAAACATGTCTTCTATTTGACCAAAATGAGATGACAAGTTAGGTTTTTGTTTGTTTGCTGATCTTCCTATGTACTTAGATTAATTTTTACTGGATAACTTAGATTAAATGATCAGTGATCTTATAGTCCTTACCTCAGAGTGACAGTGCAGGGCTTTGGCCCTGGACCTGAGTGTGTGAGTGGAGACAGGGAGGGGCACTCTGCCGGCATAACTGGGAAGTCGGGTTTGGAGTGGCCAGGAAGGCTGTCACGCTATTTCTCTGACAAATGGTCTAGAGTGGTTAGCCACCCAAGGGAGTGGAGGAATTTATTATGAGAAGTATGGGGTAGTTTCATGAGGAAATAATTTACAGCTGACACTAGCCTATCTTCAAACTTCCTGTGACCCCAGTCTGACTGAGGAAACAGCTAAAGTGTTCTAAATTTGTCCAGTTTACATCCTATAATCTCATTAGACTAAGATCTTGTTATACTAAGAAGAGTTTAGAGTGGGTGGACGTTCTTCATGGTGACTCTGCAGAGCTAGAGTGAAGAAGGACCAAGAGGGCCAGACGATGGTGCGGTGGTGAAATGCGCCACTCTGAGTGGCAATCCCACACACCCAGAGGCTTCCCTGAGTATACTGGGCACTGCTTGCCCATAATCCAGGACTGACGAAGGCTGGGGGTGAATCGCAGGGTTGAGTCCTTGTTGGCAGTGCTGTTTCTCTCTCTCTCTAATTCTCTCTTTCTCTGTCTCTCTTGCTTATGAAAGAAATAAATAACCAGTTTTTAAAAATTTAGCTACAGAGCATGTACACTCACCAGACAGAGGGAAAGTGAGAAATCACCCCCAGGAGGGATGACCACACTGCAATCCCTTCTCTGGTCTCCTCTCAGGATATTGGGCATGAGTGCATACACACCCAGAGTGATTTTCAAGCTGCTGGATCTGGGACTCAAACCACACAGATGGCCATATGGAATGCAATGCCTTAACCTCCATACTACCCGCTGGCCCAATAATCAAACTTTTTAAAAAAGAAAAGAGAGACGGAACCAGCAGATAGTGTAATGGCTATGTTGCTGGACTCCCATGTAGTTGACCGCAGTTCGAATCCCAGACCCGGTGGCTTAAACTCATGCCAGGTGCATGTGTGTGTGTGTGCCCAAGATCCCAAGAGGAGAATGGAAGAGAAGGGATTGTGGCGGGGCCATCTCCCCTGGGGGTGATTTCTCGCTTTCTGTCTCTTTGTCTCTGTCTTTCTGGCAAACACATGTGCCCTATAGTAAAAAACTCTCCCAAAAAAGAGAAAAGAGAGACAAAGGGATGGTTTCACATCCCAAGATCCAGCTCATTGCTCACTCTAGCACCTTGGAAAGGAAGCACTGCCCAAGGATAGGAGAAACAGGAAGAACAGAATATAGAATTCTCATTCCTAAGGAGTGGGCAGACTCCCCAAACCTGAAAGTAAAGGGCAATGTTAAGGACTTTTGGTAAGTGGGGAAGAGACTACAAGAAATAGAAATTATTTTGAATTAAGACAGTCCGAGTAGCCTCAGTTTCTGGTACCTATGATAGTAAATGCCTTTTGACTGGTTGATCAATGTGTGGAAACTAAGTGGAGAAGTAAATGTAAGTGGGACAAGGACAGGCCTCAACAGAGTTCCTACTCTTGCCTCATAGCTTGCTCTAGGTTCTGTGGCCAGCCCATGCAGAGCAAGTTAAGGGCAGATGCATTTCTCATATTTGCTTATGAATTTTTACCACTGAGTCAAGTTAGCTAAGCAACAGTACTCCAAGTAGCTGGCGAATTCACTTCTCAATGAACCATCATCCTGCCCGCCATAGAAAATTCCATCTCTGGGATGGCGGTTCTCTCTGTAAGAGATCTCTAGAGAAGTTATATCCTCCTTCATCCACGACTTTCTCGGTCTTCTCCCTTGTGTTTTGCTCTGGGAGGACATGTGGAGTAGAGCAACTTCCGCTGGGAATTTTCAGACAGAGTCTACTCTCTCTCTTCTCCTCTCACATCACTTTTCCCTGACTCATTCAAAAGAAACAGAACATACAAGCCCTAGACAACTGGGTAAGGGTTCAGGGCAGAGGAAGCGTTGAGAGAAGCAGGCAGAGGCCTTGACTGGCCCAAGAACCAGTCTGATGACCAGACACTGCAGTGAACTGGCCAGGGTGGATTCTGCGGGCAATGTACCCAGTCCTTTGGGGAGAAGCCAGGCAACTGTACATCTTCTGGCAGAGCCTGCCAGGCTGGCCAGACTGCAGGAGTGAGCAGGTATAGGGGGTCCAACCAAAAGGGGCAAAAAGTGGGGTTGAGTAACTATTGTGTAGCATGGGGCAGAGGTCGAAAGGGAGAACAGAGGCTGCTGCCATGGGAGCACCAATTGGAAAAAGGTTTGGAAGAATGTCTGAAGGCCAGTGGTGCCGGCCAAAGAATGAGAGTGGAAGTCGCATGGGGCTGGATGGAGGCAAGGACAAGGGAGACTAGGAAGAAGGCTGGGGGAAGGCACAGGGCCAGGAGGACTTAGGTAGACCAGAACAGCAAGGGCAGGGCCCTATGGGAGGGCAGGGGTGTGGGGACAGGGCAAGGCTGGAAAATAGGACTGTGGGAACTTGGAGGGGGTAAATTGGAGCTTGATGCTGAGCAAAGACCACGGCTAGGGCAGATGCTTTGGGGTAGTTCAGTACTGGGAGACAGAGAGGTAGAGGAGATAGGGATTTGGAGAGGGGATGGGGCTGCACAAAAACATACCAGAGGACAAGAAAGGGACCAAGGCCAAGGACCTTGGGGAGGGCACAGGTTAGGAAGGCAAGTCAGAAGCTGGGGGCCAGGGTCACAAGGAAGGAAGGGCTGGCAGGCTGCCTTGTGGGAGCTGAAGAGCTGGAAAGACTGATAAAGAGAAAAGGCGATGGTGCATGAGATGGGACTCAGGACTTCTGTCACCACAGGACTTGGAACCCAACCTCATCCCGATTCTCGCACACATTTTGGGACCTACCGCCACTTGTGAACTGGAGCAGGAGAAGATGCGCTTCATGGCCGGGGCCAGGGCCACGGGGGGACGGGGACGCGCGGAGAGCCGGGCCACAGGTTTCCAAACCCACCGAACTCGATTGGAGCTGGGCAAGAGACAGCTGTCAAAAAGCCGAGCTCCAGGCACCGCCCCAGAACCCGCCCTAGAGTCCTCCCCACTCAATCAGAGACGAAACCCCAAGCAAGGGCTGGGTTTAAAACTCCGCCCCTGACCCTGTTCCACCCCGCCCCTGCAGAGGCAAAAAGCCCGCAGTCTTCGGCTGCGACACCGGCTTGATCTCCAACATCACCCTCC